TTCAGTGTCATTTACCAATGATTAAATCATCTTAGGCATATTAACCGATATAGTGTGCATTCTGAAAGCCAGTCCAAATCTCAGTCAGGCAAGGTGTCGTGTGAGAAAATGTTACGTCGCTGCTTACGTTACTGTTGCTCATCTGCCCATCATGGTATGAACAAGTCTCGTTCGGACATAGTTATTCCTCATAGGAGCGATACCAGACCGAGCTTGGTGTAGGTGGGGCGAGAGTTAGGCTGCACCCAGGCTAACATTTGAATTGTTTTGGGTACATTTTGTTAGACTTAAAACAAGGCAATTGTCACTTGAAATTAGAACCTTGAAATAAGACATTTTAGTTTGTCCCAATTGACAAAATCTTGTTTTAAGACAGACAAAAATGCACCTGAATCAAGATGATAAAAACTACTACTTTATATTGTATCAGTTTTGCAGTGACTTAAAAAAATTCCAGTTTCATGGTTCATTCATTGACTTTTATGCCATTTAAAACTTGATATAGCAGTTGAATCAAACCATGCATAGAAGTGATATAGTATAATACAGTGTAGTCATTTTGCAGAGATACAAGGTCGCTTTGAGATTCCCTGTGTATGAATTGTGTTGTTCAAATAATCTTGCATTGCCTGTTATTGCTCTCCCCCAGAGCAGAGCGTTTTTACAGTGTTATTCCGGGACTGAACATCACAGTCTCTGACCACACTTGTCTGTACTAAAATGCACATGTTGGCTCCTCCAGATGTTGTTGTTTTGTGCTGGAGGCGGTTCGGACTGTTTCCATGTTTAAATAAGTTTTGTGTGTGTAACTACGGGAGGTGTGTGTCACTTATGCCTTGGTCTAATTGTGTACTGTACTTGTGGTTCAGTCTCAGTGCTGCTTTCTCATTCTGGCTTTACAATTGAGGACTCACAGTTGGTCTCAATTAACAATTTTATTTGTTTAAGAAATCTTTGTTTGCAAAACTTTTCATCATGGCATGTGGATAATCTGTGGCAGTCTTCAAAAGATTGTGTTAATTCTAAGCAGCTACAGTGCCTTGCGAAAGTATTCATTCAACATTTCGCCACATTTCAGGCTTCAAACATAAAGATATAAAAATTAAATCTTTTGTCAAGAATCAACAACAAGTGGAACACAATCGTGAAGTGGAACGAAATTTATTGGATAATTTAAACTTTTTTAACAAATAAAATACTGAAAAGTGGGGCGTGCAATATTATTCAGCCCCCTTGCGCTAATACTTTGTAGCACCACCTTTTGCTGCAATTACAGCTGCAAGTCGCTTGGGGTATGTCTCTATCAGTTTTGCACATCGAGAGACTGGAATTCTTGCCCATTCTTCCTTGCAAAACAGCTCGAGCTCAGTGAGGTTGGATGGAGAGCGTTTGTGAACAGCAGTCTTCAGCTCTTTCCACAGATTCTCGATTGGATTCAGGTCTGGACTTTGACTTGGCCATTCTAACACCTGGATACGTCTATTTGTGAACCATTCCACTGTAGATTTGGCTTTATGTTTTGGATCATTGTCCTGTTGGAAGATAAATCTCCGTCCCAGTCTCAGGTCTTTTGCAGACTCCAACAGGTTTTCTTCCAGAATGGTCCTGTATTTGGCTCCATCCATCTTCCCATCAATTTTAGCCATCTTCCCTGTCCCTGCTGAAGAAAAGCAGGCCCAAACCATGATGCTGCCACCACCATGTTTGACAGTGGGGATGGTGTGTTCAGGGTGATGAGCTGTGTTGCTTTTACGCCAAACATATTGTTTTGCATTGTGGCCAAAAAGTTCGATTTTGGTTTCATCTGACCAGAGCACCTTCTTCCACATGTTTGGTGTGTCTCCCAGGTGGCTTGTGGCAAACTTTAAACCAGACTTTTTATGGATATCTTTGAGAAATGGCTTTCTTCTTGCCACTCTTCCATAAAGGCCAGATTTGTGCAGTGCACGACTGATTGTTGTCCTATGGACAGACTCTCCCACCACAGCTGTAGTTATCTGCAGTTCATCCAGAGTGATCATGGGCCTCTTGGCTGCATCTCTGATCAGTCTTCACCTTGTTTGAGATGAAAGTTTGGAGAGACGGCCGGGTCTTGGTAGATTTGCAGTGGTCTGATACTCCTTCCATTTCAATATAATTGCTTGCACAGTGCTCCTTGAGATGTTTAAAGCTTGGGAAATCTTTTTGTATCCAAATCCGGCTTTAAACTTCTCCACAACAGTATCTCAGACCTGCCTGGTGTGTTCCTTTGTCTTCATGGTTCTCTCTGCGCTTTAAACAGAACCCTGAGACTATCAAAGAGCAGGTGCATTTATACAGAGACTTGATTACACACAGGTGCATTCTATTTATCATCATCAGTCATTTAGGACAACATTGGATCATTTAAAGATCCTCACTGAACTTCTGGAGTGAGTTTGCTGCACTGAAAGTAAAGGGGCCGAATAATATTGCACGTCCCACTTTTCAGTTTTTTATTTGTTAAAAAAGTTTAAATTATCCAATAAATTTTGTTCCACTTCACGTGTGTCCCACTTGTTGTTGATTCATGACAGAAAATTAATTTTTTATATCTTTATGTTTGAAGCCTGAAATGTGGCAAAATGTTGAAAGGTTCAAGGGGGCCGAATACTTTCGCAAGGCTCTGTACATGTGAAGAATTGGTATCACACTTTTCACAATCACAGCCAGAAGTGACATCATACACAATAATATCATTTACCGTATTCATGACAGCAGATTGCCAGTTGCACAATCAACATCAAATATTCGTTGTCATAATCTATAGCAGGGGTGACAAACTCATTTTGGTCGGGTGGGGTAAATTGTAAAACATAGGTTGGGGCCAGAAGTTTTAAAGTAATTTTCTTTCATTACCATTTTTTCTTTTTTTTTTTTACATATTTTTGTCTTTTGAAATTTGTATTTAATTTAATTTTTATTTTCCATTAGATTTGGACTCCGTCACAACTGGAACAAATATCTTAAGAGATGTCGTTGAAGAATGATAGTTTAATACAAATATTCATTCATTCATTAATTCATTAATTTTCAACCCCTTTATAGTCCATTTCTGGGTCAGAGAGCTGCCACCCAATGATCATTGGGTGATTCCACAGGAAGATGGTTGCTCCGTCAGTGGTGAAACAGCCTTGATCTTTCAGCGGGGGCTTCAGGCAACGTGGGGTTAAGTGTCTTGCCCAAGGACACAACGACAGTTGACATTTGTGGGAACAGTTGGAGTAGGCTCCATGGTGGGCTCGAACCCACGACCTCCAGGTCGAATGAAAATGTAAAAATCTAACTCATGGTAAAAATCCTTTATTATTTTGGGGACATAGCAATGCTTTTTGACCCCGTTATTCTGAGAAACCAAGCTTTAAATGAAATATGACATGCCACTACCATAAATGCTCCCATCAATTATTGTAATACGGATAATTGATAATCATTTAAGGGGCCAAATGGTCTCTCGGCTCGGATTTGGCCCAAGGGCCTGAGTTTGACATGCCTGGTCTATAGTAAAATACTCTAGACACATGTATGAACTGTTTTGAGGTTGTGCTGCTAGTTACTGACACCTCCACAGGCGCTGCTCTGTGGACACATACCTCCACACTGTCTCATTGTGCCAGTGTCCTGACCTACAGGTGTCAGGGTCATTTCAAGGACCAGGCATCCTGTTTGTGGCCTTCAGAACACAGCTTTTACTCTGAATAGCCTTGTGCCACTTTTAGTTTAGTAGTATTTTACATTATGTGTTTCAGTACTGACCTATTGTTACAAAACACTATTTTTAGATTCACAACAGGACATAGAGAACAATATGCAAGGTGAAGTAAAAAATGCACATGTATTATTGACTATGTTTTGTTTGTTTATCTTCCAGTTTGGAACCTACATCTATTTATGTAGTTTTGTTTTAAGGGATTTGTCATTTCTCTAAATTGGATGCACACTTTTTAGCTCCCATATGACATTTCACATTGTTGAGACATGAGTATTCACCAGACTATATCTCATATACAAACTGGTTTGGTCTCGTTTGGAAAAAGAAGATACAGAATCAGAGAAGGCTCATGTTTGGTAATATCACTCAACTAATGCTACTGAATAAATAAATCAGGGTCTAACTTACACTTGCATTTTCACAAGACCTATTTTTGTGTCATGATGAATAAAAGTAATAGCAAAATACCTCTATAATGTAAAAAAAAAAAAAACCCAAAAAAAACAAAGAGGAGCTTAAAATCCAACTTTTCACTGATAAAACGATGGATATTTTTGTTTGAAAGATTAAGATTTAGAAATCCTTTATTTGTCCCACAGTGGAGACATTTCAGTGTTGCAGAAGTTACAGATCTGTAGGAATGAGGAGCACACAGCACAAGATAAATGAATAATAACTCTATACTAAAATAAGATAATTCTAGCATAAAAAGAAGCAGTATAAAATCTCTATCTTTAGCATAATAAGGAAAGAAGCCTAAAGTATCGACCAGCTCTCAGTGCATGTGTCCTCCTGGTCAGAATGAGTTTGTCACCCCTGCATTCATGTGACCTGCAGGTATGTCCACAACACAAAGCATTAACACAGAGCAAGCTGCTGCACGCACGCCCCTGAAGGCATCATTCAACATCCTTATCAATGCTGACTATGCTAAGAATGTGAGATATCAATTGAAATATTTCAGATGAATTCTTAAACTTTGAGCCAAATTTGTCATCTTAAATGTTTTTTAAATGAATCAATAGCTGAATCAGTCGCACTTAGGGGGGAGGGGAGCCATGGATGGGGAGTAGAAGGGAGGAGGCCGGCCTTCTCACTCACTCTGTGTTGATCCGTAACATAGCATCATTGGCATTTCGGAGTTAGTGAGACGTGAGGCAAGCAGAGTTGCTCCTTTGAGAGAAAGTTGTGGCTTTTGGGACACTGTGATTAATTCTATTTTGGAGGTGACAGGAAGCCATAGTCACGCCGAAAGAGTTTATCTGCTGAGATGTCTGACTTTGGTGGCAATCCACACTTGGAGGGAATCATTTCAGATTTTGAAGGTTTGTGGAGAGATTTTAATACACTTAAAGTTGCGTTGAGTGCTTTTTCTGGTGGAGGGTGAGCAGCAACCTGTGTGGTAACCTCTGCCTATGCCATCATGTATCTAATTCTTACTGTATCTCTCTGCTTTGAAATGTGACTTGTCTCCATGGAAATCACTTAAAATATTTTGAAATTTAGCAACAAAAAATGGATGAATGGAGTTTGATCTAAATTAGTAAATGCCAACATCTTCCGCTATTTTCCTCAAACTAGTTTTACAGATTTCTTGTATTTTTAAATTAACTCATCAACAAATTTGGTCGACTAAGGATCCAGCCACAGACTTCATTAAGATGATTGGAAATACGTATATTTTTTGGAATAATTTTGTGTGCATTGTCCTCAGTTTTCTTGAGTGAGTACTATATTTAGCATAGTTGTTCTATTCAGTAATGTATGTGTTTTCCAGCATTCACAAACAGTCTTGAGACTTTGTTTTGCTGGTTTTGTTGGCATGGTCCCATTGTCCTCTACTATTCTTACTCTCTTCCTTCCTCTTCCTACTTTCCTGTTGCTCCTGAGCAGTGTCCCTACAGCTGCTGCCCGTCACATGTGGCAGCCATACTGTTTATACTTATACTAATGGTGTCCTTTTGGAAGTACAGTGGAGTTATGAAGTGTGGGGAGAAATCTATGCAAAGCCAGCTGTTGTCGCCGCTGCATCTGCTTTAGTTTGTGCTTAGTATACTCTTGGAGTTTGTAACACATTGTGGAGTTGTATAACTGTATAACTGGTTCTGAGGGGATGCATAGACAGAAACAGTAGATTCTTAATAAAGGGTTTGATTATAATTTAAACCTAATGAGGGCGACAGTTGGTAGAGCACTGGTCTTTAAACCTAATGGTCGTGGGTTCGAATCCACCATGACCCAAGTCATCTGCTCCCACTCATGTCTGCTGTTGTTGTGTCCCTGAGCAAGACACTTAACCCCACATTGCCTGAAGCCCCCACTGAAAGACCAAGGCCTTATCTTTTTGGGTTAAATGACTCATGTCCCACTGAAGTCTCCTGTCGTTGTGTTCCTGGGCAAGACACTTCACTCCACTTTTCCTGAAGCCACTGCTGAATGAACAAGGCTGTATCGTTGCCATCCTCCTGTGGGTCCACCACCTGCAGGAGGGTCAGCAAGGAGCTGGTGCTTTGAGAATTGGGTCTCTGATTGCCACCCCCTGACACAGAAATTGACTGAAATTGAAAAATGATTGAATGCAAATCTGTTCTTCAGCAAGAAAAATCAGCAGCTGGAGTTGACCTTAGGCCATATAAGGGGGGAACTGACCGAGTGTTTGCTAGGGATGCACTGATAGTAACTTCATTTGAGTACTTGCAACTTTAATGAAACATATTTTATTTATTTTTTTCAACAATCAGAAAATGCTTTAACAATTAAACATTTTAGCGATTGATTTAACAGTCAACAATAAGAGCCACTGTCATATTCACGCATACAAATAGTACATAGAAATAGATCCGGTGCTAGCAAAGGTGCAGAGCGTGGTGGTCTTGGTTGAGAGTTTGATGTTTGATCAAGTTGCTGGTGTTGTACATGTTTAGACCCACCTCGTGACAGTTTTGCCTTCGACACAACATACAGTCCGCTTTGCTCATCACTATTGCTTACTTTAAAAAACTGCCATATGGCTGTCCCCAAAATGGTGATTGTGACCCAAACACTTACTGAGCTAGAGGAGTTTACTTTTCAATGTATGTTAATCTTTTGCTATAGTCAATATCAAAAATTGAGCTTGTCACTATTGGGCTTCTTTGGGGTTAGCATTGTCCATCCATACAGTCTGTGGAGTTGACCAGCATCAGTCGTGCTGAGGCTCCAGTTGTTTTGGACTCTGAAGTATGTGTCCAGTGAAGACATAACTTCACTGCCCCGTGTTTATTCGGTGACTAAGTGGAAATCTGTTAAATGACTCAACATTTCTCCAGAATTTAGTTTATCGTTTATCTAACAAGTAAAAATAGATACAGTTTTCATACTTTTGAGACTGATAGAAATCCAAATGGAGTTGGAAAAGGTCAAACTTCTTTTAACCCATCCCAGTGTCACATTACTGAGATATAATGATAGCTGCTTCCTGCTTTTTAATACATCAAACACAGATACAAATCCATAATCAAGCATTATACCGGGTATTGGTGCATGATATACACATTGCAACTTAATAAAAATAAAAAATCAATAAGCATCAATAGTAAACAACAAATACCACAACGGAGACATAAACATATGACTTTCAACTCGCCCTCTTTTCATTGTGACCAGACATTCTCTAAAACCACAAAGCAGACAAACTTAATATTTAATACAGTTTATGATGATGTACCACAATCTTTCCCCACCAGAGGTACAGGGGAGGGGTGATGTTTATATGGATTTTGCAGTTAAAAATGTTGTCTGCAGTATTTTTCTGAAACCTCAGAAGTGTGATTTTGATTTGGACATTCTAATACAATCCTAAAAAGTTCCACTCAGTCTAAAAAGTTCATCATTAACCCTACTAAGAGTTTGATATATTAGTTACAAAAAAGCTTTTAAAAGAATATTTTAAAAACGTCTTAAAATCTCATTCCATAATTGGAATTTAATCTTCCAAATATGATATGGAAACATGTCAGTTCAATCCCTTCTCATTGGTAATGCTTTAGTCATAATGATGCAGTGACCTAATCCGGATTTTTCCTCATATCATAATGTTTTCCACTACACTCTACATTTTATCACTGTAAAGGGAAGAGCACAGAGGAGAAGGACTGCAATATTATTTTTCTTGTAGGTCACTCGGGAGCATGTGTAACAAATTAGTCATAATAGGCTGTAAAATTAGCTTTCACATTTATTAAACAGAACACAAAACCTTCCAAAAGACAATCACTAGAGAATAATCCAACAGTGTACGTTTGGGCTTTTTGGCCGCTTCAGAGCATGCCAATTTAAACAGTACTCCGGTCCAAAACAGAGTCTGTCCTCGGAGGATCGTTGACCTTGTTCTCCATAAAGTGTGTTGAAAATTCAGAGTAATTTGATTTTTTTGAATGAATATAGGAATTACATAACTGTTTCTTTTTCTCTTGAACAAATCCATGATATGTGTGCTTCTCACACTCGCTGGGATGGAATGGTGTTACTGGCTGTGAAATTGAGATTATATCCACTATGGGGAATGTGGAAAAATTGAGAAAAAAAACCTGGCCATTACCTTTAAAATATGTATTTTGCATATCCTCAAAGGCTAGAAATATCAGCCCGAAAACATTACTGAACCTGGAACTTTGTCATCTCAAAAAGTCCTTTGGATTTGTTGATCTCACAGAAACACAAAAATATTCCTCCTCAAGATCCATGTTGATCTCTCTGTGGGATAAAAAGACTGACATATTCTTGATGTTCTTTTTTTATTGTATTTTATGTTAACTGCCTCTCTGCTATTTACCCAAAGTATCATTGCAAGTATCCAATCCAATCCACTTTAATTATATAGCACATTTTATAATAAAAAAACGTTTCCTAAGTGCTGCACAGATAAAAGTAACACATTAAAATATACAAGTCTGCCAGCTTTAAATAGAAACAATAAAAACAATACATAAAACAATAAAATAAATAAAAACATAAAATAATAAAAATAAAAAATAAATAAAAATGAAACACTAAACAGGAAAGTACCGCCTCTCATTGACTCAATCTCTCATATAAAAGAATGATCCATGAAAGAATTTTTTTTGCAAATTCTGGTGGAAACGTCTCAAAAATGTGCAGAATCAAGTATTTTCTTCATGGCTCTCTCTCTGCGAGTCGTCCCTAAATAACCATCGTCTGATCATCTCGTCTCTCTGTGCTTGAACAAACCGTTGTCCGACAGGTGTTAAGTTGAATGCAGGAGTTGGACTTCTTCGCACCGCTGTAAATCAGTGCCATGATCAAAGGGACCAGACTGTAGCTTTGCAGTTTGAGGCTGGGGTCAACTCGTTACCCCAAGTTTAATACTTCACTAAACAAAGAGAGGTTATTTACTGAACTCATAGTTTTGAGATTATGGTCACATGACACCTGCTCAATGTAGAAGAGTCCTATGGGGTCAAGCTGTTGAGAGAAGCGTCAGTGTGAGGCCTACACGGACATGACCCTCGACAGATTCAGGTGCACTGCTGGGCACAAAAAGCACCTCCCAAACCCAAGGACACCAGAATGAATTAATAATTAAATAAATAAATATAATGAGCATCGAAACAAGTTCAATTTAATAAAGATGGAGATTCTTTTGAGAATATCACCATTTTGTGTTTAAAGATCTTAGCTGAAGTATAAAACTAAAGGTAAAGGTGCATTTTATTGATCCCCGTAGAGCAATTCAATCCTCTACATTTGACCCATCCTGATGCTGCAAAGGCTTGCGTCAGGAGCAGTGGTCGCCGTAGTAACAGCGCCTGGGAACCCATCTCCAAATGTTGATGCTCGGCTTGGTCAGGACCAGAGCTGGAGGATTTAACCTAGTGAGCATGTTTTTAGTGGTAGGGGAAACCTACCACCCGGAGTACCCGGAGGAAACCTACGCAAGCGTGGGGAGAACATGCAAACTCCACGCAGAAAGACTGTAAGTTTAAGTAACTATACTTAAACTTAGTAGTAGCTTAAAAGTAGCTTAATAATATAGTCCTTGAAGAACAAATAATTCAGCAATTTTTTTTTTGGGTTTATAAGAGTTTTCAATTCAATTCCATTCATTGTTACAGTATTAGCCATAAATCACAACAGTAGTAGTTATCTTGGAGGAATTTACAAAACCGTTGAAATTGCCAACACAGATTAGAGAATCAAACAGTTCAAACACGGTGGCTGAGTGGATAGCACTCTCGCCTCTCAGCAAGAAGGTCCTAGGTTTGAATCCCGGTCGGAACGGGGTCTTTCTGAGTTGAGTTTGCATGTTCTCCCCATGCTTGTGTAA